ACCATTTAAGAGAAATATTTAAGAGAACTTGATATACTGATGATATTACTGAATCATATAAACTATAAAAGCATACAGATTATTATATGAGGCTTGTTGGTTGTGTGTGAGGAAAAAATGTACATTAGCAACTTTTCCTTGTTAAATTTTGCCAGTTAATCTCCTTACATTGACTCTCGTTAAATTCAGCATCATGACTTGATTGACTAAATAAACCACCGTGCTGAGATTGTAATAACATCTCCATCTTTCTTTCTGTGTCTAGTTGGTTCTTGGTTCCAGTGGTCAGTAAGGACTTATACAAAAAATAAAGGTGAGATTAAAGGCGAGAAAGCCATGGAGAGTGTATTTCAGGTATTCTTGCTCAGATTTAAGCAGCTGGAGTGTTTTCATAGACGTATCGCTTGATGTTGTCTTCTATCCAGTGGTTGAAGGCTGAGACCCGAGTGAACACGGATGGCTTTTTGTCCACAACGCAGCCACGAGGACTGAAGCTCACCACACCATGCACCTCCCAAAGGGAGCCAGTGTCAGCTGATTTGCACACGAATGGCGCACCTGAGTCACCCTGATCCAGGAGAACGGGAGAGATGCATTTGTGTTAAACAAAATGACATGGTTTGAATCACATATTGTTCTTTTCCCTTTTCTTTATTTATGTACCTCTGCTGCTCATAACCTAGTGTGTAAGTAATAATTTGTGGAATCTCATTAATACAAAAGGCCATCATTTGGACCCATTAGTTTAATTAGATGGCCACATGGCATCATTCAGAGTTTTATATAACACAGTGCAATTATGAGTGACAGTGAGAGCTTATGTAACTGCACAGGGCCCCATGAGACTTATCCTGACTGTCAACCATTTGTATTTTACAGCCTCAGGTATTACATCAGTGCTCCAAAGCCTACGCCATTTCTATAGTGATAGTGCAGGATTTCTTGAATATATTGAAAGATGACTGAAATAGAACAGCTCCTAATACTGTGCTGTATTTTTGTTTTATACTTTTATTAATGATTTGGAAATATTTGCTTATAATATACGTAATAATATGTTTAGCATTTTTAGTAGTGAAGTATTTAAAACCAGTACTTACTAACTCAGCAGAAGTTTTAAACTGCATTAGACTGAGACATATTGTGCATATTCATTTCCTCCTGTTCCCTTACATACCTGACAGGCAGATTTAAGCTCATCGGGCAACTCGTAGCTGGCGCAGACCATAGAAGGCCGTACACTGTCCCACCAGTAGTTTGGTTTACTGCATGTCTCGTAGGAGACAATAGGAAGAGGAGCCTGGTTCAGCTTCTTAGCCACTACAGGAACTGTACTGCCTGTAAGACAAATACGCCAAATTAAAAGCCACTCTGACTGATACAAATGTCATGTTTGGAAGAGTTATTCCTTGTACAATAATAATTAAGTACAATTTAGTTTCTGAGAAGATTGCTTCTTCCTGACCTTTTTCATCTCCCCATCCAGTGACATAGCAGAAGTGGCCAGCAGGCATTAGAGACTCAGGTTTAGGCAGACAGACAGGGCTGATCTCTCGAGTCATGGACACAGGCTTGGCCAGTCGCACCAGGGCAATGTCATTGGCAAGGTCATTGACAAAATCCTTGTGCGAGATGATAGTGACCACAGGAATGCACACCACTGTGGGGCTGTCCATACTGGCATTTATGTGGTGTTTCCCAAAACACATCTGCCATGAATTAGGAACTGAGATTCTGAAGAGGACAGATAAATAGAAAAAGATTTTGGATGGACAGGTTGATGGAAAAAGGAACAGTTTTATGGGTGGGTTGATGAGGGATAAATGGATGGGTGGATGGATGAGGGATCATTTGTTAGGTGCATGGGTGATTGATTGGTAAGTTAATGGATGGCTACATACATGCATGAGACAATAGAGTGGTGGAAAAAGATCAAATACATTGATTGATGAATGGATGGAGTCATGAGTGAATGCGTTAGTGGATGTTACAGAATTACTACATGTGTCATGTATGGCTGGATGATTCATGCATGGCTGGATGGATGGCTGGATGGATGATTGATGGTGTTATCGGAGAATGATTTGGATGGAGGGATCAGTCATTCTATTGGTGGAAAAAGATGGATAGATACTTTGGTTGATGAATGGTTTGTATGTATGTATGTATGGATGGATGGATGAATGGATGGATGGATGGATGAATGGAAGGATGGGGTCATGAGAGAATGTGTTAGTGGATAGATGGACTTGATGGTGGAATAATGTGTGCATAGTCTTGTGGAAAGATTAATACATGGTTGATGAATGTATGCATGCATGGCTGGATGAATACATGGATAGGTTATTGAATGGATGGATGGATGGATGGATAGATAGATAGATAGATAGATAGATAGATAGATAGATAGATAGATAGATAGATAGATAGATAGATAGATAGATAGATAGATAGATAGATAGATAGATAGATAGATAGATAGATAGATAGATCGATAGATAGATGGATGGATGATGGATGGATGATAGATGAACTAAAAGATAGATGGATATGGTGGAGGTTGAATACATGGATAATATGATTGAAGGGGTGATAGAACACAGATGTTGGGTGTATGGATGCTTTGAGGTTTCTTTATGATTACATTCATGATACCTCTTAGGGCATTTTTGTAGAATATGTAAGTGTGTGTGTGTGTGTGCGCGTTTTCTTACTGTGAGAAACAGTGGGCAGCAGTCAGGATCCATTCCTCATGGATCAATGAGCCACCACACGCATGTTGGAAAGGCATAAAAGGAAGCTGTTTGACCTGATGGAGACACACAACACATCCATTATTGTCAGTAAGCACTAACCAACAGTGACGAGTAAGCGTGTCTTGTGCTCATCCTTCCTTGCCATGGCCAAGAATGAGGTTTAGCCTCCATTCCATTCACAACCCTCATTACAAGGGTAACTGGAGCCACTGCTGGAGTCCCACATTCAGCAGGCCAGTCTGTGAGGCGAGAAAATACCCTTAGAACATCTAACATTTTTGACAGCTGGACTCAAGACAACCTTGCGAGACATTGCACATTCAGACTGGCAAACTATGGTCAAATAAAATTGCATGGTCTTTGCGGGTAAATTGTTTAACAATATATGTCGTCTTTTACACGCCATGTTTTATTTAATTCCTAAATAAACTCTTACTTATCTCAACTTATCAAACTCAACTTATCAATGCTAACAAGTTTTTATTCATTTAAAAACACCATAATGCATTTACAGTAACATTTAATGTCGTGGCACATCCTCAGTACAAGTTAATTCTTGTTTTCACTGCCGTTATAGTGGCTATAAACTGTCATATGCTGTATTGTATATATAAATGTTAGTCACTGTAAACATTATAGTCTCTCTCTCTTGAAGTTAATGAGACAAAAAACCTGCAGCTTGTTGTGTTACCAAGAAAGCTCAAAGCGTGGAGTCATTTGTCCTGAAGACTTTCCCATGCGCTTTACCTCTGACTGTTACAGTGTTATCCTTCGATAAATGAGAGCTGTTCTTATTGAAAATAAATCAACAAAACTATCTAAAAGTTACTATTCACCAATCTTCACGTCATCCCACGGGTTGGGTAGCAGCCACGGGGTGGGAAACACACTCAGATCAGAGATCCAGTGACCACGGAAACCCTTCTCTTGGCGTGCGTCATTGGTAAGGAAGCGCACAGTGGCTTTGTCTCCAGCGACGGTCAGCTTGGGTAGTGCAAATCCACAGAACTGACCTAGATGGGGAAGCATTCCCAAAACAAGGATTAAAGGAGTTTAAATCAGTTTTTGTCCAGCAGATGGTGCTCTAACATTGCTAAAGGTGAGTCAAAAGGTAATTTTCTAGCTTATGCAATAGGTTTCTGCTGCAGAAATATAAACAGAAAGATGGACACGGAAAGATAACTATGTTTTCTGAACATCCTTTCTGAGTGAGTTTTGTTCTTTTGATATTCACGATCGTGCTTCTGCTCTAACCTTGAGACTTCCCAGCTGCATCAAACACCTCCAGGAAGTCCATACACCTGCCCAGGACATTAACTGCTTGCAGCTCAAAGTGTGTGAAGATGATTTGTAGGCTCTTGGCTGACGGACTGAAGATGCTCCACGTGCAGACAGTTTGCTTCGGATAGTTATTGGGCCAGTTTGGTGAGACTAGCAACCCCTCCAGGCCGGTGAACTCTCCACCACACCTAACTATATCCACACAGATACTGAGACAGAGGATAATGCAGAACTAATGTTGTATATGATTGTGGTCAGCGTCTCCGTGTGTATGTGTGAGAGAGACTTACTGTCGATATCATTCGGGTGCAAGGCTTTCCATGTGGCCCTGAAGCCCGTGTCAACCACTCTGTTATTGGAGGAGAAAAGGACGGTCAGCGCTTCACCTACAGAAACCATGTCTGCTGGAGGATTTGCACTGCAGTGTGTTCCTGAAGGAGAAAAAAAGGAGGTGCACATTGACAGTTTTATGAGTAGCTCCATTGTGGCATTTAAGTGTATATGGAACTGATATTTAATGCACATTTAATTGTACTTTTTGAACTGTATAAAATGATGGTATTTATTTAAAGTGTGGCCATAAATTGAATAGACTAATATACACAAGTTAATACATCCATCCATTTTCTGTCCCGTTTATCCTACACAGGGTGTTGCAGGCAGCCCACAGTAAGATTGCAGGGCCCAATCACACACTACAGATAATTTAGAGATGCCAGTCAGCCTACAACACATGTCTTTGGACTGGGGTTGAGAAAAGGAATCATCAGGCACAAGCCGGGGTACACTCTGGACAGGGTGCCAGTCCATCGCAGGGCACAATCTCACACAACCATTCATACACTACGGACACTTTAGACTCGCCAATCAGCCTATAGTGCATGTCTTTGGACTGGGGGAGGAAATCGGAGTACCCGGAGGAAACCCCCGCAGCACGGGGAGAACATGCAACCTCCGCACACACGGCACTGGCGGGAATCGAACCCCAGACCCTGGAGGGGTATGAGCCGAACATGCTAACCACTAAGCCATCGTGCGCCCTAATTCAATGTTTAATCTTATTTAAACATACCTTGTCATACCTTATAAGCAAAATGGCACCATATACATAAATTTAAGATTGGTGATGAAACACAATATATAGTTATGAATGTAGGCTGTATATTTGCAGTAGTACTGTAACTTAGGTAATTGGAAATATAGTTTACTTTATTTTTTTTCCTCATATCTTATATCTATAATTTTCTCTTTGATGCATTTATAATAAATGAACATTTGGAGTTCTCCGACACCCCACATACCCAGAGGACTGAGGTGGTCTGAGATGGAGACGCTGTCGCTGACGCACATCTGGCTCTCCTCTAGTGAGAACGATTCGAAGTGAAGGTGTACGCGTTTGCCTTTGGGCACCCGGATGTTCCAGCGGCACTGAGCACTGTTCTCATAAGTCTCAGGGTGATTCATTGAAGCCAACACACCTGCAGTGCCAGTCTGGTCCATCAGCCCACCACAACCAGAATCTGTAAAACAACAGCAATAAGCAGATGGGGGGAAGAGAGAAACTGGGTAATTAAAGGGAGAAACTACAGTATAACGCAACAGAAAAAACTTTATTTAAACCACAGTATTGTTGACTTTGTGATTCTGGTTGGTCAGAAGGTGGTGATTAGTTTGCTATAACAGTTCATGTACTAGTTTGTTGTTGGACTGAACATGGAGGAAATGCCCCATTAATGGGCATTCCAACCTGTACCTATGACATATGAACACATGATACACTTAAAGTCATGAGAACACTTGCTGGGCAACCAGGAATTATGGATGCAGAGCCCAATCTAGCTAACGGCTCCCAATTTAGCCAGTTAAATATTTTATATGGATAAAAAAAAGACACAGTGGAGGTGTTTTTATTTAATAATAATATTATAATATTATTTTAAAAGTTTAATAATACAGTTTTCATTTGGATGTGTTGTTAAATTACTAACATATGAATTCAAGAGCACTATAATTACACTTAGCTAGACTGTACAACACATGAGAGTGGGTCCCCTGCTGAAAAACATTAACAATAGAAACTCTCATAGAATTTGTAATGGTCTTATTGGTTATAATGGGAATTGCATTGGTTTTAATGGAAACTGTAATAGTCCCTGTGGGTCTCTACTAGTAATTTGTTGCCTTCTATTGCAGGGATGTTGTATCTAGTGGATAACCTTAAGGACCAGTAATGGTAATGGTTTTAATGGTTAGCTGATGTTTGTAATGGTATTTGTAGTGGAAACCATTCGAATTTCTGTGTTGGTTTCTTTTGTTCTTTTCAGCAGGATCGTTTGTATGAAATTTGTATGAAAGAGAATATATTATTAGTATCAGTCTGCAATGCTAACATACTGGTGAGGTGGTAGATATCCTTGCGTATAATGTTCTCGATCCAGGACGTGTAGGCAGACGAGCGAGTGAACACACTGGGCTTTTTGTTCATGATGCAGCCGGCAGGCCCGAAGCTGGTGATACCGTGGATTTCCCAGGGGGCCGAGAGGTTGTCCTGACACACCAGGGGACCACCTGAGTCTCCCTGAGAATTACAGATAATCAGATTATACAATACATTTAATAATCACCTCCAGTGTGTGTGGTCTCTGGTGTACAGTGTGTAGCATCACTAATCCCCAATGTGCATTGTAAGTGTTAATTCAACAAGGATGAACACACAAGTGATCGTCACATCAGCACAATATTTCGATTTGGCAAATCAACACCTAGGTTCTCGCTGACGGTCCTGTGGTTTTGATACTGAGTCAGTTTTTATCATCAAATATAATCAAAATGTTATATTTTGTAGATCTTTCACAAACAGTATGTTCAGTCGCATGATTAGTTAAGGTCATATCTAGAACTCATTTTTGGAAAAAGAAAAAAGAAATAAATAAACAGAACGATATTACCAAGGTGTTAAAAGATGAGATTTAATTTCCACTTTCCAGTAATTCAGAAATCAGAAAATGAAAATGCAGTATTTCTACATTATCCTTTGTAAAAAAAAAAAAGTAAAAAGAAAAAAGTTTTCCAGACCATTCACACTTTTAAAAAGCATTTCAAACCACAGAATTGTTTTATTGTTTAATTTAAAGCACTTAATCATTTTATTTATTATTTATTTATTGTCAAATTATTTTATTTCTTTTATTCTTATCTTTTATTTTATATATATATATATATATATATATATATATATATATATATATATATATATATATATATATATATATATATATATATATATATATAGTTTTTTAATATACATTTTATGTATATTTAGAAAGTTTTATATTTTTTTTATGTATATTTATTTCATATTTACTTATATTTTCACTTCACCTTTTATTTTATCCTGTGCATTCTATTCTATTGTTAAATATAATTGTATGCAATTATACATTTTATCATTACATTTTTCATTTTATTATTACATTTTACTGCTTGATTGTATTGTGAGCTATCATATACATATAATTTTACTTATTATTATTATTATTATTATTATTATTATTATTATTATTATTATTATTATTATTTTAAATAGACTTTCTCCTTCTATGCAGATGCACAGCAAACCTTTTGTCATGTTCTCAGTGTATATAGCTACAAAAAAAAAGGAAGGGGCTGTAAAATCAATCAGAGTGAATATATTGTACTACATACAGTGCATTTGTAAGAATCAGTTGATTGCCTTCAAACATTCAATATATATATATATATATATATATATATATATATATATATATATATATATATATATATATACCTTTTAACAATGAATACCTTGTATTTAGTTTTTTGTTTGTTTGTGTTCTTTTTTTGTAAGAGAGAATATGTAAGCGAACTGAGAAATGTTTATAACTTGTGTTCTTTTATTGGAAATAATCTACATCAAATTGGAAAATGGCTTAATCTTGATTACTCTAAAGTACATGAAGCATACAACATACAGTATATTGCACATTTTACCTACATGGTTAAAATCTGTGCATCTGCTTGTAATAAAGCACTCATGGACTTACTTAGGATTTACTGTAAAAGTGACCAGTTATTAACAGTCAATGCTGGTGGAACACTAGTCTGATATTTTTCCTAATTTAATTGCCATCCAGTACTTTGTGTTTTGGAAGTAGCACTAATAAACGTTATATAGAATTTTTATATAAGTAATGTTTCCTAACTTAGTTTATTAAAGGAAATGCAAAGGTAAAAGTGTTGGATCGTCATTTGCTGCTGCATCTCCTGCAGACTCCAGTGTGGATACACACCTGACACACAGACTTCAGCTCATCAGGGAGTGTGTATCCGCAGCAGATCATCGACAGTTTGACCTGGAACCACCAGTAGTCCATGCGTTTGCATGTATCAAAGGGAACCACAGGAAGAGCAACCTGGTTCAGAGACTCTGCCACTTTAGGAGCCGTTGAGTTGCCTGAGGGGAAAACAAGTGTGTTTTAGACAGTATGAACTGTAAAATATAAATGGAATGTTTTACAGTTTATACACGTTTAATAATAACCATACCTCAATTTCCTAAACATTTAATAATACACATCATTTGAATCACTTATAGCTAGCAACCAGTTGGAATAACATAACTGCCTAACTTTTTGCCAAGGTGTTGCTATAGAATTCCATGTGGTTGCTATGATGCTGCTAGGTGGTTGACAGGGTGTTGCTTGGTGGTTGCTGTGGTAGTTGAGGTTGATGCTAGAGTGTTGCTAAAATAAAGCAGTTCCTAACATTTCTTATTTGACTAAACATTTAATAATAAGCATTTTTGAATCACTTCGCACTAAAAACCAATTTCAATAACATAACAACCACTTAGCAACCACCTATCAACCACCTGGAATACCATATCAACAAAATTTTGCCAGGGTGTTGCTGAGTGGTTGCTCTGGTATTCCAGGTGGTTAGGATGGTGTTGGTAGGTGGTTGCTATGGGGTTGCTTGGCGGATGTTGAGGTTGTTGCTAGAGTCTTGCTAAAATAAAGCCATTTCTAACATTTAATAATAAACATTTGACTCACTTATAACCAGCAATCAGTTGGAACACCATAACAACCACCTAGCAACCATTTAACAATCACCTGGAATACCATAGTAACCACTGAGCAACATCCTAGCAATCTGCTGGAATACCATAACAGCAATGTTTTGCCAGGATTTTGCCAAGTGTTTGCTCTGGTATTCCATGTGGTTACAATGGTGTTGCTAGACAGTTGCTAGGGTATTGCCTGGTACTTGCTGTGGTAGTTGAGGTTGTTGATAGAGTGCCATTTCTAACATAAAAAAAAATCCTAAACATTTAATAATACACATCTTTTGATTCGTTTCGATCTTTTCGAAGCTTTTTCGATGGAAAGCTTGTACATAGCATGTCCTGCAACAACATTTTTAAATTTAATTATACAACACCTTGCAGAAGCATTCGCCCCTTCTGAACTTTTCCACATTTTTTAGTGTTATGTCCTTTAACTGCAATTTACTTAACAACCACCTAGCAGCTACCTGGAATACAATGGCGACCACTTAGCAACACCCTAGCAATCAGCTGGAATACCCAAGCAACCGTCTAACATTGTGCTAGGGTGTTGCTAAGTGGTTGCTATGGTATTGTGGGTGGTTGATAAGGTGTTGTTAGGTTGTTGCTAATTGGCTGCTTTTGTAGTCACTAAAATAAAGCTATTTCTAACAATTCTCGAGTGCCACAAAACTTATGAATTTAATTATACAGTGTCTTGCATAACATAGCAGTATGCAGTATCTGGAACTGAAATTGACTTGATCAGGATAATGTCATGAATCTACACAATCTACACAACCTAGTCCATGATACAGAAGTGAAAAAAATCCATTTGTAATTTCAATTTGTCAATTTCAAATAAACTTTGTAAAAGCTGTGATTGCAAAGGTATTCACGCCCATTGCTATGATTAGTTCTGGTGTCAAATAATAAATAACATAAGTCAAATAATTAGGTGAATGTGTTT